ATGTAAAGCCTTAAATAGTAAATACTTTAGAAAAAAAGTCAATATTTGCACCCTCTTCCCTGCTCTCTAAACTCAATGCTTTTCTAAAGAGTAATATTAAATATTTCAGTCAGGCATAGTGGCACACACCTATAATTCTAGTACCCAGGAGGCTGAGGCAGGAAGATGGATTGCTGCAAGTTTGAGGCCAACCTGGGACACATAGTAAGTTCAAGTCTAGCCTGATCTACATAGTAAAACCCATCTCAAAAAAAAAAAAAAAAAAAAATCCCAATTTTAAGTCCCAAAGCTTCACCAAGTGAGCACATCCAACACCATAATAGTGGTAGAATATAATACTCTACAAGAATGACACAAATTATATTGGAATGCTTCTATCTACAACTATGCTTACGGAGGGGGAAAATGTAATTGAAGAACAAATATCAACTATTAAGAATCATAATGAGGAAGATGATGATGATGATGATCAAAATAGCATACTTATCAGGATCTTAAATAAAGTTTTAAACTCAATAAATGACAGAGGGCCAGGGATTTAGCTGCCTGCCTTACAAAGACAAGGTCCCAAGTTCAATCCTCTGTACCAATAAATAAATGACAGAAAATATGTATTTATTCTGGAAGATACTTCCAATTCACTCAGATGTGAGAACAAGCACATTCTGGGTAGTATGGCCATAGACTACTTCAATTCATTAAAAAATATATAAACAGTGGGAAAAAAACACAAGACCAAGAGTTAAAAGGAACTGGCTGTTCCCTAATCAAATTAATCAAACTAACATTACTAATCATACTTTAAGCAAATCAATTACTTATGTGAGGTTGTTTCTATTTCTTTGTGTGATAATGCTCTAAAAACATTAAAACTCTAAGCAACATAAAGAATTTTACCAACCCGAAAAAAACAAAATTCACAATACAAGGGTTTATACTTAGGCCACTGGGTATTGACCAATAAAGAAATGAGACACGGGAGACAAAATAAACCCTATGATGGGTCCACAGTATTGTTTTGAGAGCATTTCCAGATCTAAATAAAGTCAACTGAGGATGAATCCAACAGTCTCCTGAGTCGAGAAGACACTAAATAAAATGAGCTGAGGATGAATCCAACAGTCTCCTGAGTCGAGAAGACAAAGCAGAGAGAAACTAGCGCTCAGGGAACAAGCACAGCTAGAATCCATAGGAGAGAGAAGACACCTGAGAAGACTGAAGCTCTTCAAGTGCTCCACAGAGGACCAACCAGTATCTTTTCATAAGGAAAGCAGTATAGGCTACCGAAAAAACAATCTGAAAAGTCAGAAAGAGTGCCTGTCCCCACCAGCCTGACTGGAAAATCTCGAAAGAGCACATGGGAAAGTCTTTGCTTGTAGTAATGGGGAGTAATTCACCATATACAAACCACCTAACAAATCAAAAAAGGAAGAAGGTTAAACTGTTTTTATATAAAAGTATCTCCAAGGCCGGGGGTTTAGCTCAGTGGTGCCACCGCCTGCCTTGCACACACAAGGTCCCAAGTTTGATTCCCCGGTACCAAAAAAAAAAAGTATCTCCAAACAAATTTCAAGAATATTTATAGTACAAAAATACTCAGTAACCAATGTGGTAAAATTCAAAAGTCTGCCATTGAACGGAGGCTTATCAGGCAATCTGAGGCAGGAAAGCACAGCACAAAGAGGAGAATAAAACCAATCCAGAACTGACAGAGATATCAGAATTATTAGTTAAAGGGTGTTGCACAGTTACACTCTGAAATATAAACTAATTCACAACCCAGAGAGAAAAAAGAAGCATTACAATAAAAAGGCATCAGTGATACATGAGACCATTTCAAGCAGCATAATATAGTACATAAGGAGAGATGGAAGGATAGAATAATATTTGGAGAACTAGTGGTTCAAATTTTTTCAAAATTAATGAAAACTACAGAGTTAAAAGGCTCAAAAAACACCAATCACAAGAAACATGAAAACCTATATTTGGAAACTGTAGGGGTAAAAAAGATGACCTAAAAGTAGAAGAGGGATTACTATGGACTGGGAGGGGAGAGGAGGGACTTCGAAGGGACATGATAAATGCAGGATATGCACATGTGGAAATAGCACAGTGAATGAATCTCATTAATTTGTGCAATTAATATGTATTAGCAATTGTAATATAAAACTTTAAAAGATACAAGAAATATTAAGGCACTGCATAATCAAATTGCTCAAAACCAGTGACAAAGTCATTAAAGGAACAAGAATAATAATGTTATATACAGAAGAGCAAAGATAAGAATGTCATCAGACTTATTAGAAAACAATGCAAGCCAGAAGACAACAGAGTATCAACTTGCAAGTGCAGTACTACAAGATAAAAGTCAAAATTATCAAATAAAAAATTTCAAAAGCAAAGGGAAACAAAGATTTTTCAGACATACGAAAGCTTAAAGAATAGCAGGTCCTCACTACAATAAAAGTAAGTGATTTAGGCAAAGCAGATTATATCAGATAGAAATATGGATCTAAATAAAGACATCAAAAGTGGTGACAAAATACTTAAATATGTATGATTTTCTTATTTAAATCTTTAAAATATAAGAAAAACTCAAGTCCTGTAAGCACTCGCTAATGCTCATTAGACCAACAAAATTAGGAAGAAATAATATCTATCTACACAAACCCTTCCAGAAAATACAAGAAAAGGGAAGAAAAGGGATCACCTCATAACTCACTTTGTAAGGTTACCATCATCCTGTTACCAAAATTACACAAAGACATTACCAGAAATGAAAACTATACACAAAAATCCCTCATGAAAACACATAAAACCATTAACAAAATTTTAGCAAACTGCATTTAACAATCTATAAAATGACTAATTTATCATGACAAAATATGGTCTATATTGCAAAGCTGTTTTAAAATAAAAATATCAATATACTTTCATATGAAAATAATAAAAAGATACAAGCATACAATCATTTCAATAGATGCAGAAAAAGTATCTAAATCTAAAATCCATTCATAAAAAAAACTCAACAAAGTAGGAATATAAAAGAACTTCCTCAACCTAATAAAAGGCATTTTAGGAAAAAATAATCTAAAGCTAACACCATCCTTAACAGAAAAAAAAATAGATGATTATGCCTTTTCACTCAAATGAATAACATACAGCATTGAAAATAAGTAGCAACACTGATAAATATATAAAATATACCAACACCGATAAATCTCACAAAATAAGTCAAACACAAAAGAAGACTGCATTAACACAGAATCCAAAAAAGCAGGCAAGACTAAACTATAAAGTTAAACTATGGTAGAACTATAAAAGAAAACAGGCAACTTTATAAAAGGTCAGATTTAGAAGTTTCCACTTTCTAGCATCATGTTAGCACTCAAAAAGTTTCAGACTTTGAAGCATTTCAGATTTCAGACTTTTGGATTACAGATGTTCAATCAGTAGTCATTTTTGGAAAGAGAAGATACACTGACTTGGAGGAAAGATGTAGGATGCTTCTGAAGAGCTGGTTATATTCTATTCCTTGTCCAAGAATGTATTTATACAAGAATTCAACTTACAAATATTACTGAGCTGTATATTGGTGTTTTGTCCCCTTTCTATATGTATATTGTATTTCACACACAGACATAGAAATTATCTAATCAAAACTAAATTTTATATAGTTTAATATAAAGTAGTATAATAAAATGATTGTGATACTGTGTATGCGTGTGCACGTGTGTGTGTGTGTGTGTGTGTGTGTGTTGTGTGTGCGTGGTACCAGGCACTGAACCTAACTTCATGCA